ACGAATCCTAAAGGGTAATATCATGAAATATTCCTATGATTTTTAGACCAGCAGTAGCACCCTCTATATATCAATATATATCAAGCACTACGAGAGAAATCTCAAAGAAATTCTCAAGCAATTCTGAAAATACAAAGAACCAGAATCCCTTTCGCTGAGGAAAAAAAAATGCAAAGAATATTCTACCTCAACATTAAGCCCACTTCATTTCATTAATTTAAAATGGTGAAAAGGGGAAGAATTTAAAAGGGCCCCATGAAACAGCATCATTCCATAGATTTGGATGAGTGCACTATGCCTTCCAAAAGATACTAAAAATCTGGGTGTTTCAACAAACATTTCACCTGGCAAGTTAACAAGCTCTGGTAGTTGCTCTTTTGTTTGCTACATTTTGATGCTATCTGGGACTATTTTGACCCTGGACCTTGATTATTGATTGATTATTTTACTGTGGTTCAGTTTCAACCCTCTATCTGGCACCCAGAGTTGTTGCTACGAGATAGGTAGCCATATAGATTATTTAACTCAATGAAACAATTGAGGTTTTCTTTTTATATAAAAAAAACTAGAAATTCTTCATTATTTGTCTTACAGTAATAAAAAGAAGAATCCATGGCTTCATTGATCCTTTATAGCATTCAACTTTGTAATATTACACTGCATCTGTCAGCATTAAGATACTCAGAAATATTTCATCAAATACACACACAATAACTTTCCACCTTAGTCAGCAAGTAGATATAAGCCTGTTTCTATTAAAATAATTGAGCCTCTGAGGGCACAGTTTTTCCAGTTATTCTTTATGGGAATAACTAAACCCAGCCTTGTTATTTTCTGCATCCTCAATTATAGCTGGATTATAAGATGCTCACTGTACCATGTTTATCAATGAGAAAAATCCATTCTTGTGAACAGAAACAGAGTCAAGGATAGAGCAAGAGAAATGAACAAATGAGCCCACAATTTTATCTTGTTTAGCCCTTCCAGCACTGATGAACATATTTACTTGCAGTCCTTTGGTGGCTTTCTTTCATTTCTTTACATTTTTGCAATTTCAGATATGCAGCATTAGGCTTTTCATTCACATTTCTGATCCTCCACCACTGTAATCTCAGCCTAACAGATGCCTTATATTACCGGTGCCATGGCCAGGGTTTACCATTCTTCATACGGCTTTGCATTGTTTTTGGTCATTGTTTAAGATTTGAGAGATTGGGGGGGACGACTCTGGTTCTAAGATGGTATGTCACAAGCAAGTGAAGATGCACTTGACTGCTTGATATTTGAATGCCAATGCAACTATAGCAACAGGACTGGGGAGAATGTGAGTTTTATCTTTTTTCACAGACCAACAACCAACATGAAGGTTCAATAGCTCTTTACAAGGCTGTTTATTAAGAATTAAACCATAAAATGAGAAAAATAAATACATCAGCAGCAGTAACTACCTGTATTATTCCCTGGCTTTCACATACGGTTTAGACCAAAGATTCTAATGCATGGTGCTTTTCTGCTAGATTACATTACATAGAAATAAAATCATGATGATGTGAATAATTATTTGTGGGAATGATATGATTTCTATGGAAAATTTGGAAGCTGTTGGAAGAAAAAAACTATATTTCAAATAAAGGACCATAAAATGATACTTTTCATCATTTCCACCACTCATGTGTTCCGACTGAATACTAGGGCTGTGCAATCATTGGAAAGACAGGCTTTGCAAAGTTTGGTAGAACTAGATAATGCTTACATCACTGCTTGGAAGGTGATATGTGAAAAAAGCCAGGGAGGACCAGGTCCAGAGACACTATCTCTGGCTATAAAGGAGATGGGAATGGGTGAATTGTATTTTCAGACATGCAAAATTGTTGTTGGCCTTTCTAGGTAAACCTGATAGGAATTACAATCAGAGGAACTAATCCGACTTTATTATAAAGCAATATTGGTAGACTCTTGCAAGTACATTTCCCCCCTCATTTCTTTTACAGCATAGAATACTAGGGAGGGTCTCTTATGAGGTCTTGCCCCATTTATTATCCAGCTATTAACTATGGTATGTCTTATTTAGCTGTTCCCTTGACAGTGTTTATGGTCCCAGTCTTCCAAGATCTTTCCCATATACCATTCTACCAGCTGACTTTGTGGCTGCTACATGACTAGAACTCATGGTTTCCCAGTTCTAACCTGATGTCTTAACCAGTATACATAACTGGCTCCAGAGGATGCTGCTAATCTAATAACGCCGGGAAGAAGGTTTTGTTCTCTCTGGGGTATTGTTTTCCTGTTTTGCAAAGCCCTTCTGTATCAGAGGTGTTATTCAGCCATCAATTTTGGACCAATTCTGGCGTATGGGTAGCAGAGATTTTGAGTAGTTCGGAGAACCGGGAAATACCACTTTTGGCTGGCCCCGCCCTCCCACCCCTGCCGTTCCCTGTCCTATATGCCCTTGTTTTTCAGCTGATTTGCACGGCAAAGCATATTGCTGGTCCTCAGCTGCTCACCAGCACTGACACCAAGGGCGGTCTTTGAGTGCTGTGCATGTGCACAGCGCCTGTGTGAGCGTGAAGTGCTCTCTCATAGAACTGGTAGGAAAAGATTTGGAATCCCACCATTGTTCTGTATAAAATATTATGATGTACTTTCTTGCCCACATAGTAAAATGTTAAGAGCTATCTATGAGGATGGGGTGAGATTACAGTCGGTGAGATGAGATTACAATCCTGGGCTGTATAGACAATGAAAGATCTATCACATTTTTATGACAAGAGGTCATTCTATTACAGGGGTGTCAAACTCATGTCGTCACAGTGGTATCACATGGCATATCTGGACTTTTTTCCCCTTTGCTAAATCGGACCTGGGCGTGGCCAGTGAGTGATGCATCCGATGAGCAGGCCACGAGTTTTACAGCCCTGTTCTATCAGAACCATGTCATTATCCAAACAGACATATGAAAAAGTGGTACTTCTGACTAAAAATGGGCTCTTAGTTCTCTTCTTTTGTCATTCCTTCAGATTATATCTGGCTATTGCCCAACATCACTGGAGAAATTTTGAGTTAAACTATCCCTTCCTGAACCATCAGTTGTGTGAATAATGAAATTGATTGGGTTGTTAGGTGTCTAATCTCTACTCAATGGTTTCTCTGAACTAGAGATGCTGAAAAAACACGGGTCTCATTAAACAACCCATGATTAAGGATCAGCAGCCAAAATAGTCATACCTACAGCTACTTGGTTGGTCAATGTAGAAGTGGGCTACTGATATAACAAAGCCTTGTCAGTACCTTTTTGGCACAAAGACTCACGGAATATGAATATTAGACAAAGTAGAAAATAACTCTGATTTCTTCAAACTGCCACCTGTCTTCCAGAATTGTGAAAACTTCTGTAATTTCCTATAGAACTACCATTTCAAACAAAACAGCTGTGGCTTTTTTTTTTCACTAATTCAAGAACGACCTTGCTACAACAGCTTACAAATCTGTACTCTCAAATGTTAAAAAATAAGAGATTTTTTTTTAGTATTGAACTGACTTTATATGAAATTTTTATGCATTCCATGTACTGAGTGGATTTTTTTCCTTGAGTAATTAGACAAAGTGTTCAATTCCCCTGTGAAAAAAATTGCTTGCTAGCAAGTTATTTTTCATTGCTGTCAAAGAGCACAAACTTCAATCTTCCATTTTGAATGTGATCCCAAGTATTGATTATTAATCTTTCAGAAAATAAGAAGCACATCATTGACACAAATAGGTTTATAGCTCAGGGGATACCTTTTCAAGCCTGTTGATTGATAGACAGGCAGACAGACAGAAAAATATTTCAGAATACTAAATATAATAAAAATAGAATACTAAATGTAGATAAGTAGACTTTTCTGTACCTTAAGCAGTTAAAAGTGTACATACCATATCACACCTGTATTTGGATTCAATATAAAAATGCATAACTGAAACTGATTCTATATGGTTCTGACATATTAAGCCATTATTAAGACATGAAAAACCATAGATGTTGATCTCTAATTTGGGTGACTATAAATTATACTTAAGGGTAACCCTCGATTTACAACAGTTCACTTAGTGACCGTTCGAAGTTCAGCAGCACTGAAAAAAGTGACATAATCATTTTTCACAATTGTTGTGGCATCCCCATGGTCACTTGATCAAAATCTGGATGTTTGTGATACATGTATTTATTATGATTGTGGTGTCCAAGGGTCATGTGATCAGATTTTGCAACCTTCTGACAGGCAAAGTCAATGGGGAAGCCAGGTTAACTTAACAACTGTGTTACTAACTTAACTGCAGTGCTTCACTTAACAACTGTGGGAAGAAAGGTCATAAAATGGGGGCAAAACGCAATAACTATCCTGCTTAGCAACAGAAATTTTGAGTTCAATTATGGTTGTAAGTCAAGGACTACCTGTATTTGATTAGAAGTGATATTTTTTAATGAAAAACAATGAACAATTGAATTGGGAAACAGTTAAGACTTTAGCCTTAATCTTTCCATGAGAAAAATCTGTCTTACTTTGTGGAGTTAGAATTATTAAGGGATAGTATGGAAATATAAAAACATTAATCATCATCATAATTTTTAATGACCCCATAATAATCCCTTGCGGGGTGGAGTCTGAGCAACTGAATGGAGCTAGCAGAGTATTAATGGCCAGATACCCTTCTTGTCACCAATGCGGAGTTTTGTTCAGCCGATATATTCTCATTGTGCCCAGAGAGAGAAATATCTGCCTCTACCTAGGATCATAGCCCCCTGTATATATAAATAAATATAAAAACATTAATGTCACCCTTTAAATCACCTTCTCCAAAATATGTCTCTAAAATATTTGGTTCTACTTATTTAAGGTTCCACAAAAAGGTTGGCTTCACTATAAGTACTCTATGTACTTCCCATTGTCACCTTACTGCAACAAGATTTAAAGCAATCTACCAAAGCCATTATACATTTTTTCCCCAAAGTAATTGCAACTCACCAGAGGTTTCATCAACCCTTTCATCTACAATATGGTCCTTCTGATGAACCCATTCACTGTTGCATTTGAAGTAGATTTGAGTGGCTGGGCTGGCTTTACAGTAAAGGTTCACAGGCTTATTCTTGACGATGTAAGCTTCTTCAGGCTCAATGAGAAAATGAGGAAGAGGTTCTGGGGGATCAGAAGGAAACGTTTCTGGGAGCTCGTGAAAAAAATCATCATCTGTAGGAAAGAATGAAAACGGAACATTAAAGCATAGTTAAATAAAATCTAGTTTTGCTTTAATTTTCATTTTAAAAATAATAAAATAATAAAAACATTGTGTTTGGCAGGAGAGGACTGCTCTGCCTATCTACAACGCATCTGGCAGGACTCAAGAAACATCTGGTAGGGCCTTGTCATGGTGCCCACTCTGGTAAAATCATCCCCTCAGAACCCTTCTACTAGAATCATAGAATCAAAGAACTAGAGATGGTTGGGTCAGGGCTTTGCTTCAAAAATTTTAGGATTCTCTGCCCGGTTGCTAGATGGCGTGGCCTAGTTGGCCTACTGCACCATGGCAGGAGAGGCATTTTTGCCCTCCACGGGCTCTGGAGGCTTTCGTTTAGCCTATGGGAGTATGAAAATGGCCTCCCTGGGCTCCTGTGGTTCCCTGGAACCTGGAAATGGGAACTTCCAGGAGGCCTGTTTTTTGCTGTCCCTGAGCCTCCATGCGCACCCTGCACTTACCTGCATCCAAAATGGGCCATGTGGGGACTTCCTGGGAGGGGCAGGAGGGGCCAGCCAGGAGTGGGATTTGGGGGTTCTCCAAACTGTATATAGAATCTTAGCTAGGGGCTCTCCTGCAAATCCCCAGAAGCCCACCCCTGGGTTGGATCAACAAGCTTGGGGAATGTGTAGCAGAACCCGCACAATTGTGTTTATTCATTTATGGGTTCTTTTGGTTTTTTACTTCATCTGCAAATCATGTTTGCATTCTTGTCATGTGTTTTCACATAGTGTTTTTAACTGTTGTTAGCCACTCAGAGTAATGAATATGAGATAGACACCCATATAAATTGAAACGAATAAATAAATCCTTATACAGCTGGCTTGATTCTTTCACTATCTCATATCATTTGCAGATTGCATAATTTGTAGACAGATTTCCATATGATAATCATGGACCATCAACCGTAATTGCAAAATTACAACTATATTTTCAAGTAGGTAGATTTAATTTGCCAACAGTATTTTTTTTATAATTATTATTAACAATTCATGACTCCTTCAGAAGAGTTTTAGTTGCTTTGGTTAACCTTGGTAAATTCATCTGGAAGTATTTTATGTATCTTTCTGGATCAGTTGCATTTACTTGTAATTATTTCTTTAATAATGGTAAGAGTATTTTTGTGACAATATATTAAGAATTAGGTCATGCCAGTTTATGACTACAGCAAGAGCTCATGAATTAAGATTACTTTATATATTTTTTCTCACTGAAGGAACTAAATAAATGTTTTATTTAAATCTAGTGTCAAGGTCTTATGATTAGCTTTAATACATGTGAATATTTAAAACCCCAGGAATAGCAGTACTCATAGAAAATGTCAAGAATCAAAATCACACTGTAGTAGTTACATATGAAAACTTAAGATGTAGCTTTCATATGTGGGCGGAATATTAGTGAATCACTGAAGAATATTCCTCTAATTAAAAGTATGTATCAGAAATCAGTCCTACCATACATATTGCATAACAGTCTCTTCACCCACAACCTTCTGCATGTGTTGGGACTTCTAACTACTGGTTATCTCTTGACTAGATTACTGCAACACACTTTATGTGGGTCTACCCTTGAAGAGTATTTGGAAACTACAAATAGCATAGAACGCAGGGGCACAGACAGTTCTGGAGCCCTCTTGAGTGGCACATGTAACCTTGCTGTTACACAAGGTACACTGGTTGCCAATTGGCTTTCAGGTCCAATTCAAGATGTTGATAATTATCTCACAAGCCCTTTAGGATACGGGTTCAGGATCTCTGTGGGTCCATTTCACCTTGATGGGACTGGTCTACCCGCACTCATTCCAACAGAAGAGGCCTACTTTGGATTCTGTCTACCAAAGATTTTTCACTGGCAGAGTCTGGAGAAGAGACTTTTCTGCTGTGGCCCCTGCCCTCTGGATTGTTCTCCTACTGGGATCTGTCACTCCTGGCCTTCCAGTTCTGCCAGCTGGCCTCAGAGTCCAATAGGGACACAATGTGCTGAGCTGGCTAAAAGGGTAGAAAAGACCACCTCCCATGTCGTCCACCCTCTTGGTTTTTAGCTTTCTATTTAATTCTACTAATTTCAACTTCTTTGTATTTCTAACTTTTTATTATAATGTAAGCCACCAGAACTGCAATAGAGAAGGGGTGTCAAACTCAAGGCCCGTGGGCCGGATCCAGCCCACGGGTACTTAGATCTGGCCCACAGGGCTGCCTGCATACAGTAAAGGACTGGCCCTTGGTGCCTCTGCTAGAGAAAACGGAGCACACCCATCCTGGCCACACCCACCTGTCTCCCCTGAGGTCAAACACAACTCTAATGAGGCCCTCAATGAAATCAAGTTTGACACCCCTGCTGTAGATTGAGGTAGGTGGCATAAACAATAAATAAAATAAATAATTTCCAGAATCTGGCTTCTTTAGATTCTCTGTGACCTATTTTATAAAAGAGCTCTGTAAAACTCAGACTCAGACTGGGCTGTTGTTTCCTTACAGAAGTCAACAGTGGTGTCTGCGGGATCTTGCTTCATAAAGATTAAAGCAGTATTAAGGCATCATTTGTAATGTGCTTGGTGATAAGGGGTAGATCTTCCATTGTAATGCCGCAGGTCTGGCTGCATCTGTTTGTTCCCCCCTGCTCTTCTGTTAACATGAAAATCAAACTCAATTATTAAGAACATGCTGCTAACTGTATGAGTCATTTAATCAGGCAACTTCATGAAAACCAGAACACAACACATATTGCTGAGTGCTATTGTATAATTTTATTTTATTTTTTTGTAAATTTTATTTGAGTTTTCACAAAGAGAAAAAAAAATACAAATAAAACATCTTTTTTGAAAGTAGCATAATCCCGGGTTACATTTCTTCGTACAGACACAAATTCAGGTTCATGCTCATTTTTATATTCTATTCCATATCTTATTACTATTTTACATTTTCTGCATAGCTTCTCCCCTCTTTTAATTTTCTCAATTTTATTTTAATTATCTCATCTCAATTCAAATCATTGTATTTATATTTTTTGTCTGTCCTGTTTCAATTATCTATTATCTTTTCTCATTAAACAAAATTTCTCCTGTAGTTACTGATTGGAGTATGACGCCTTTATATCTTTTCCCTAAAGTTGTAACATTCAATATAATACATAACTTCCATTCGGATTCTGCTTGGTACATTCTTAAAATACACACTGTATTCTTAAAAAAAGAAAAAAATTATAAATGTATATAATTAAAACATTCCATTCCAATTCAATTCTACCATTAATATTAATATTCATTAAAGTCTTAACATCTTTAACATTACTTTTCAATTAAATATCATACTTCTATGGGAACAATTATAAGCTTTCCATAGTTAATTCCACCCCCCCTTCACTTATATTTTATAAAACATTAACTAATTAAAATGTTCCCATTCCTTCCTAATTCAATTTTCTCATTTATTTTATTTCACTTATTTTATTAACAAACATTTCACTAAATTACACTAACTATTTTATCCCTCATTTTAATCATACGTTGTTTCCAATTTTCTAAAGTTATTTCTATTACTAATATAACAATACAATCTTATGTACCTTTACAGAATCCCTTTTTCAGTTAGATTTTCACCCATTATCTCTAAATATGTCCTGTTTCTCTATATCTTGCTCCAGTCCTTTGTAACTTCTTTTCCTTTCCTTCTTCCCTTTCTTCTTCTCTCTCCCCTTTTTACCCCCTTGTCTCTCTACCTCTATTTCTCTCTTCTGTATTCCCCTTTTCTGTTGCTTTCCAGTATTATACTTATTTTTCAAATTATTTTTCTTTTCTTTGGTTGTTTTTTTAAGTCTTAAATTCTCCATTCTGTTTCCTCCCTTTCCTTTTTCTTCCCCACATAAAATTGCTTGTTTATTCTTTGTCCCAGTCTTCTTCTTTGTCCCAGTCTTCTTGTTTTGCAGTCTTTTCTTGTTGTTTCTCATAGTTCCAAATCTCCATTTCTAAGAATTGAAAAACAAAGCCAAAAGAACCCTTCCCTTCTTGTGCATCTTCTTTGTACGTTTTAAGTTCCATTTTCAATTCATCCAGAAGTGGTGCGATTGTATAAATTTTTAAACAACCACCCGATTGATTTTAGTCATTCAAATATAATAACCAAGAATCCAAAGATCACCAAATAATCCAAATACACGCAAGCTGTTTCTTTTTTGCTCTTTTTTTTCACTTTCTCTTCCTGGGGTTACTATTTAGTTGCAGGTTTCAGTTAAAATGTATCTTCTAGAAGTCTTGTTGAAGTTTTACTGTAGATTCTTTTTAATTCCAGGCAGTCTCCTCTCTCTTCCAGATCCTGCCCTTATTCTTTTTCTCTCCCTTCCTGCTTATGAAAAAGAAAATTTTTAATGTCCAGAAATCTTTATTATCCCTTTGGCATTTTGTTTTATTTTCAGCTTAATTGCCTATTGATGTCAAAGCAGATTTTTCCAATTTCTTATTTAAGTCTCTTAGTTGTCAGTATAGGGAAGGAGAGAGAAGGGGAAAAAAAGCCAAACCTTTCCCTTTTCACTTTCCTTCGCTGCTTCCAACTCTTCTTTGGGAGCGATGTTATTTTTTGTAAGTTTAAATTCCAGGGTACCTTAGTTGTTGCTTTTACAATTTAACCTGGTCAGCCAAAACTTTCACTTCTTATCTTCCTCCTGCACATTCTTTTCCGCTCGAGTTCTCGTTTGTGGTGGCCATTTCTGACCATCGCTACAACCGCCTTCGGGAAAGGGAGTAATGGCCAGCTGAGGAGGAGAGATGCAGCTCTCCTCAACCCTGCTGGTGGTCTCCCCCCTCTTCACCACCTCTACGGGGTGGCTTAGCCCCAAAACCAGCCAGCTCGGGGCGCTCCAGCGGCGAGCCCAGACAGAAACCACGCACGATTGAAGCCCTTCAAACCGGAAGTTCTGCTATTGTATAAATTTTAATAAAAGAAAATATTGTGCATCTGTG